CTGTGGACCTTTAATGATTAAATATTTAAACTTATTAAATATGAACATTACGAATTAAAAAAAATTAGGCATCTACTGGATAGATAAATGAATAATACGGCATGGTCAAAAAATTTTGATCGGGATTTTTCTATTAATTATGCATTAGATAATTAACAATTTTTTTCCTACTTGAACTTGAACATTGCCAAGTACGATAATTGTTAAATAACAAATCAGAGATTTTTTCTTTTTTTGAAGCAATTTTTGAACGGTCTCAGAAGAGATTCCCATTGGAAAAATTAAAAAAATGTTATTTTTCACTATGTTATTAAAAATTTACTTAAGTTAAAAATTAAAAAGCTTGATTAAGCATTGAATTTTTTTTATTTATGATACTATTGGCCTTTTTTTACCGTCACATGGAAATGATTTTTAATTCTTTTTATTTTCTGTTGTTTAAAAAATTATTATAAACAAATGATAAAACAAAAACAACCATGTAATATTTTTTGGAAAAAAAAAATTATATTTATTTTTATCGAATTTTATAATTACCTTTAGCTGTTAATCTAACATTCTCACCTGGTTTTACGTCTTTTAAATTAATAAAACTAATTAGATATGTTAAAAAAACTAAGTATATATTTATTCTTTATTAATTAAAGAACAAATTAAGCCCAAAATTCCAGCTCTCACCCAATTATTTATTTAAGTTAGAGCATTTATTTATAAAAAAAGAACTATTAGGAAATTTAGTTACAGTTAGAGGTAATTATGGAATTCGATAAAAATATAAATATTTTTTTTTTCGTTTAATGATAAACAATTAAAATTTAAATAAAACCAATTTTTGTTAGTTATCAAAGAGCAAGATCTGTATCTGTAACGTGTGAAGGGTGGGTTACACCCACGACACTTAGGTCTCATTGGGCCCATTGTGCATTCTCCTAAGATGATAGGCACCTCCTAGCTCGTGAGCCAGTATACAAATTTAATGTAGTTGACAACGTCGCCAAGAGATGCTTCTCTTATATCGGCTGGTGTTAACTGATGCTCGCCAAACAAAAATTTTCTAATAAATGAGAGCGTCGAGCAGTCGTGAAGGATATGATCTCATCTTCTTGTTCGCACCCTCTGCAGAGTGCGGATTCTGACAGCCCCATGATATGGAGATGCTTCCGTACTTGGCAGTAACCAGTCAGAATGCCTGTAACTAGGCGCAGATTCTATCTAGTTATGGTCAAGTATTTGTTTGCTGCAGTGTTGTCAGGATAACTTAAGAGCTCCTTTGCAGTTTCTTGTTTTATCCCATCTTTCCTTGAATTTCACAAGGGAATGTTTTTTAATTAGGTCTGTCACTATCGACTTTGTCAGTTCAATAGATGAACCAGGTCCAAAAAGTATTTGGTTGGCTGCTTTCTTGGCTAGTGAAACATCAAGACGGATTACCTTTCGATGTGGCGTGACCTTTGATCCATCTTAAGGTGACCACATTGTTGATGGATACTTCGGCCCAACCTTCTTAATATTTTAGTACTAACCCTGAATAAATTCGTGGACTGTTCAGGGTGAGTAGTGCTTGTCTGCTATCTGTATGGGTGAGCATGTTTCTTCCAGTGATATTTTTTCTGGTTATTTCTTTTGCTGCTATGAGAATCCCCGTTACCTCTGTTTGAATCACACTGGCACTATTGCTCACAGCCTATTTTATGTTTAGGTATAAGAATCTGGTGTATATTCCACATCCTGAGCCTTGTTTTGTTTTAGAACCGTCGGTGTAGATATGAATCGTACCTGCCACTTCTGGCTCTTCTATTATAACTTTATATGGTTTATGAAAGATATAAGTCGGTGAGATGGAGTCCATGTTCGCTTGAAGCAGTGGGAGCGTATCAAGCGCCTCCTGTCAAAAGTGACGGTTTTATGCCAACCGTGCGGAGACGTGTCATTGTCGCCAGAGCAATCTCCTTGATGTAAATATCAAGGGGGTGAGACTTAGAATGACTTCAATAGCTCTGGTCGGTGTTGTTTTCATGGCTCTTGTAATGTTGAGACATGCTGTTCTTTGAATTTGTTCTAGTTCACGGATAGCTTTTAATTTTTGGATTTTCGGTACCCAGATAACTGCACCGTATGTTAGCATAGGTCTTATGATAGCCGTGTAAGTCCTCTGATGGAGATACCCCAGGTGCGCCTCACGGTTTAGCTGCATTGTTCATAAGCAATGTATGCTCTTTTAACTTTGTTTTCTAAATGCGAGTTCCATATTAACTTGCTGTCAAAGGTGAGACCTAGATACTTCACTTCTGTTGCAAAGTTTAGTTTTGTGTTTAGGAGTTCTGGAGGTTTCAATTCCATTTTCATCCTTTTCCTTGTGAAAAGGACCATTTCTGTCTTCTTAGGATTCATAGGCAGTGAATGTTCCTTGCATCACTGTTCTATAATTTTTAGAGCTACTTGCATTCTTTTGCAGAGTATGTTCTCAAAACTCCCTGTTTGCAGAATGACCAGGTCATCTGAATATGCTAGTGTGTAGTGACTGCTATTATAGAAGCGGCTGATGAGGGTGTCGTGGATTATATTCCACAGTAGAAGTGATGGCACCCCTTCCTGTGGACATCCCCTCGCAACCAAGCCTCTTATATCTACATCTTCTACACTTACGTTTACTGCTCGCTTTGAGAGCATGTTATGTATCCACCCACTAACCATTTGTGGAACATTCCTGTTGGTTGGTGAGTGTATTATCTTTGGGAAGGTGGTTTTATCAAAAGCAACTTCTATGTCTATGAAAACACTCAAGGCAGACTCCTTAATAAATAAACAATTAAAATTTAAATAAAAACCATTTTTTTTTAGTTATCAAAGAGCAAGGTAAAAAAAACTTGCACTTTTTTCACTCATTATTTATGTAGTTATTTAACAAATTGTGTTTGGTTTTTTTTAATAGTTCATTTACGACCTTCTGCTGTTTATCTTAATTTTATTTGTCACCTTATTATATTATTTTGAGAATATTTATTTTTTCAATGCTTGTTTTTTTATTTCAGCTAATTATATCCTTTATTTTCCGTGTCCACCTTCATGTCCCTTTCTTCTTGCTTTTTATTTTTCTATATCCACACACTTCCTTTGTCGAGATAATTAGTATATCTTTTACAGCATGTCTGTGTTTTCGAGTATCTATTGAGTATTTTGTTTTCTTTGTTTTGAAACTCATTTTTGTGTATTCCTGTGTAACGTTTAGCTTTCTCTGGCCTTGATTTCTTAGTTTTCCTACTACCTGCCTTTGTTGTGTGTAATACTTTTATTCCGCTGTCAGTATATACCTACTTAAGCTACCAATATATATTTATCTACCGGATATTTTGGCCAGAAAGTTTTAGTCTAGTAGCTATCATTGTATGTGCCATTCCTAGCTATTCCTTCAGTAGTTAAGCAACACCAAAACAAGCACACTTTGTCCTTTTTTTACATGTAAATCTCTATAAGAAAATCTAAGGTCCAACGTGTTCATTTTTGATATAAAAATTTATATGATATCAAAATATATATGATATGATATCAAAATCACATAATTGTTTTAAATCATTTATTTCGTTCAGATACATAATTGAGCAGTTTAATTTTCTCATATCCACTATTTTAAATCTCGTACCAACCCATTGTTCTTAGTATAAGTTAAAAATTAAAGGTTCCAATATCATTTCTCCATTTCCATATCTTTAATACCTACTACATTACTGTAATGCTACAGTAATAATGCTAGATGTATAGATTTATTCTAGTGAATTATATATTTTGTCAACTATTTAATTTTAATCGTAAGGGGCCATCCATAAATTTCATCACACGAATTTTATGATTTTTTAACACTTCCCCCGTCTTAGTCAGCGCTGGTCACATTTGTGAGTCTTCCCCCTCCCTAGTGTGACGTCACATGTTCTGCAATTTTACATCTAGACATTATTAAATTAAAGCAGGAGTTCCGAAATTATTTTTAATAAAATCAACATCGAATCAAACATCTGAAAAAATGAACGAAACAAAAAACGACTATTTATATCATAGAAATATTCAAACTTATTCATCTTGAGTCCATGGACTTTGAACCCACTACTTTAAATTATTTATAACTTACATAGCAGTCACTTCGATCTCGTTTGGGTTGTCATTGCCAGGAACATTCGTTGTGTCAACATCTTTTTCATCCAACCATATGGCGTCATCGTTATCCAAACAAAGAATTTCTCTGGAACGTCTAGCAACAATTCTTTGAGGATAAATCTTTGCTATTGGCAAAAATTCTTGTTGCCTCTTATTTTATTGCTTGTGTTGGCTAGTGGCCTTGTATAACGCAAAATATAGACCACAGATGCCACACGATCACTTAAACAAGTATGCCTCGAAACTGGGATAATAGCTTCAAATGTGATGATGCTCGGAGATCAAAAGATAGCTAAAGTAACAGTGGAGCAAATTTACCTTAGAAGTCATATTTTTTTATGGTTACATACCTGTTTGACGCCTGTTTAACTAAAACAGGTGGTGGGAAAAAACCCTCTCGTAATAGTCGCCAAAGGCTAGATCGTTGCACACCACTACAAGGGACAACCTCGCATTTTATTATTTATATTAAATATTGTAATGCATGCACATGATTTGCGTACCAGGTCGCATCATTTTTTAATACCTTAGTCTGTTCAATATCCAATCTAGTATCTGTTGGCACAATGTATTTAGCAACCACATGAAAATCATCAATGACCAATTAGCTCCAAATATTAGACAGCACAATGCCTGCACTCTCAAAGTTTCGTTTTTCTAAATATAACTCAATAGTTCGATTACTGGAATCGAGATGTAAACCATAATTGTCATGTTATAATAGAACACCAGTAAGTTCACGACTGAGAGGCGCCATTCGTCGTTCCACTCTGTTGAAAGCATTTCTTCCTGGAGCATTTGTGGCAATGTAAATAGCACCCAAATCAATATTTTTAAAATGTTGTATAAAACTATAACTCGCTTGTATCGTGGATTTTCTTAGGATCACTATCGCAAGTAAAAATAAATACAGGTTTTACAAAACATTCTCGAGTTCTCATAAAGTGTTGAAAAGCAGGTGTTTCAGAAAGTCTATGTATGTCTGTAGCATGAGTCTCTGCATTAGAGGAAGAATGCTTTCCACTACGAATTGCTACGAATGTAGGCCCAGAGTGTGTCACAGCTTCAGGTTTCCCATTACCATATTTTTTTATTACAATACCTGCATAAACAGAAGGAATGAGTTTATGTTTTTCCACGAGCACAAATTCATGATCCGGTAATTTTACACGATAATCAAGGTGTATTATTATTGGTGCTTGAGCATTTGCTGCTATATTACCTAAAGGCACGCGTGCCTTGTCATCCGTTGATAAAAAGAAAACTTGATCAGGGCCCAACATGAAGCATTCAAGGTTTCTTATCGTAGCAGTACAGAATGTGCCATCTTTATGTTTCAAACGAAGCGTGGAATCTGGTTTGCATAGTTTAACAGGAACAGGTACGACGTGTCTCTTTTCTTCCTCTGTATTGACTCGTCTGGGAAGAAGTCTGAAGTATAACCCTGATCGACTGATACTATATCCCTGTTAACAAAGTTCGGCTTTAAAATTGTCCAATGTTTTGCAGCACCTTATAGTTTCAGTGCGACGTCGTTCATCAGCTGCGCCACCAAAAACTGCAATATCCTTTATGACTTCAAGTACACCGAATTGGTTTTCTTCTACTCTACACCGACCACTAGTATCTCCAAGTTTTAGAGCTGATGCTAAGTCTGAATTATTTTTATTAAGGTGTTTATAAATATGACGTCACGTAATGTAAGCCCTTTTCACCCCTTGTCACACAATATAACACTTCGTCGACTTTCTCCCCCTCTTAACATGTGACGTAATTTATGGATAACCCCTAAGTGACTAACCTAATCGTATATTGCTCCTATTTTAATTAGGAATTATACATGCCTGAAGATGCCGCTTTGAGGTCGAAACTAGTCACTCCTGTATTTTTATAATAAAATTGATGTGGTATTGATTTTGAGGTTTTATTCTATTGCAAAATATTTAAATAATTCCAGTTTACTTTTCTTTTAACAGAAAATGTTCGTAATAAACTTAAAAGTACGAAATTGAATTCAATATTTCATTTGAAAGAAATTCAGATTTGGATAGAGAATGGCAAAGCAATGTAAAATATGTATAATTTCCTGCAATACTATAATTGAACGGATCTAGGAAAATTCGCCGAAAACAGTTTACCGAATAAATTTTACCGAAAACAGTTCATCGAAAAACAATTTACCGAAAAACAATTTACAGAAAAAAAAATTACCAAAACCAATCCAATGAAAGAGCAAACCACCTAAAATCCATTTTTCTAAGATATGTTGTCGTTATTGTTTAAAAAACAAAAAACTTTATAAAAAAAATTTAAAAAAACATTAAAAAATAAAAAAAAACAGAAACCAAAAACTGCAAGTCCTAAGCCTTAATAAAGTGTGAAGGGAAGTTTACACAAATATCCGTTAAAAGGATTTTACGAAAGTACCAAAATGATACCTCACAAAAATGGATTTAATGTGAATTGTTCTTTCGGTGAATTGTTGTTCGGTAAATTGTTTTTCAGTGAATTGGTTTTCGGCAAATTGATTTTCGATGAACTGTTTTCGGTAAAATGTTATCGGTGAACTGTTTTTGGTGAATTTTAAGGCATCCTAATTGAACATGCTCAAAATCACCATTTGATTTAGAATGCAGGCGTTCTGACATATTCGTTTATGATTCTTCTCTGATAAAATAGTCAGAGTATGCTTTTAAATTTAGTTAGTTATACTACAATAGATCTAAATAAATATAAACAGATTTTTTAATTTTTCTTATAAATGGTCGAGACGTGTGTTCCAAATTGCCTCTCCTCCCCCTAGGCAACAACAGTACATCGGCATCTGTGGGATGTGCCACGTGTGCACTTATTCAGTACGACCAGCTACCCTAATGTGATTATGTATTGCTTAGACCGAATAAAAATAATAGTTTTGTCCATAGAATATGCATACAAAATAGTATTATTTAGGGGTGTGTTACAGAACCGTAATCAGTAAATAAATTGTGCTTTACACGGAAAGAAATAATATTTTGTGAAGAGTAAGTTTCTAGAATAAATAATAACTTTGACTAATTTAATAAAACGTGATATCAAATCAAGTAGATGTGAATCTTTTTATATAATTTAAACTGATTTCAGTTTTTCGTACGTATACCAATAAAAACTCTCAGGCCGGATATTTTGGTAATAGAGATATTTTAAATATAGAAAAGACAGTTCATAAAAGAGCTTCAGTTTTAGGTATAAATTAATTTTAAATGGGTCAATATGTAGATGGCGCTGCGCTCAATATATTTTTTTCGATGGGAGGATCTTTCTTGGATAACGCATTTTGTAAAAAATGCATTTTTAAGCAGATTTTGTTCTATAAACTAATTCGATAAATCTAGCCATTTTTGATATACAGAGTGAGTCACTTAAATAGTTTCATTCTGTTTTCGGCATTATTCATTGGATTTTTAGAAAATATATCACTAACTTTTAGAAAACCAATCATTTCTGAAAAAATAGCTAAAATACAACAGAAAACCTATGGTGGAACTAAATGATTAAATATTGTTCGTTAGAAGCAAATGAAAAGTTAGTGACAATTTTATAATAGTTGCTAGCCTAATTTAAAGCTAATAAAAACAATGTATAAAATAATTTTTCTAATTTTTTTCTTGATTTTTCTTAATTTTTTTCTTGATTTTTCTTGTTTTCTTTTCGATTTTTTCTTGAATTTTTCGAGATTTTTTTTTAAATTTTTTCTTAATTTTTCTTAATTTTTCTTAATTTTTCTTAATTTTTCTTAATTTTTCTTAATTTTTCTTAATTTTTCTTAATTTTTCTTAATTTTTCTTAATTTTTCTTAATTTTTCTTAATTTTTCTTAATTTTTCTTAATTTTTCTTAATTTTTCTTAATTGTTCTTAATTTTTCTTAATTTTTCTTAATTTTTCTTAATTTTTCTTAAATTTTCTTGATTTTTCTTGATTTTTCTTGATTTTTCTTGATTTTTCTTGATTTTTCTTGATTTTTCTTGATTTTTCTTGATTTTTCTTGATTTTTCTTTATTTTGCTTTATCTTTCTTTATTTTTTTTTTATTTTTTTTAATTTTTCTTTATTTGTCTTTATTTTTCTTTATTTTTCTCTATTTTTCTTTACTTTTCTTTATTTTTCTATATTTTTCTTTATTTTTCTTTATTTTTCTTTATTTTTCTTTATTATTCTTTATTTTTCTTTATTTTTCTTTACTTTTCTTTATTTTTCTATATTTTTCTTTATTTTTCTTTATTTTTCTTTGTTTTTCTTTATTTTTCTTTATTTTTCTCTATTTTTCTTTATTTTTCTTTATTTTTCTTTATTTTTCTTTATTTTTCTTTATTTTTCTTTATTTTTCTTTATTTTTCTTTATTTTATTTTATTTTTCTTTATTTTTCTTTATTTTTCTTTATTTTTCTTTATTTTTCTTTATTTTTCTTTATTTTTCTTTATACTTCTATATTTTTCGTAATTTTTCTTTATTTTTATTAATTTTTTTCTTGATTTTTTCTTGATTCATCTTAATTTTTCTTAATTTTTTCTTGATTTTTCTTGATTTTTTTTTAATTTTCTTGATTTTTCTTAACTTTTTCCTGATTTTTCCTTGGTTTTTTACTTAATTTTTTCTTGATTTTTTCCTTATTTTTTCTTGATTTTTTCCTTATTTTTTCTTGATTTTTTCTTGATTTTTCTGGAACTTTTTTAGAATTCTAAGGTTCAACAAAGCTCATTATTTATTGTAATATTACGTTATCACTTACTTTTTGAAACCCAATCATTCCTGAAAAAATACAACAGAAAACCTACGGTGGAACTAAATAATAATGTTGGTATTTTATAATAGTGGCTAGCCTAATTAATTTAAAGCTAATGAATAGCATGAACGATTTTAATTGGATTTCTATTAACGCTAGAAATTTTCATTAAAATTATTATTATTAGTCGCCAATGTTATCACTGACATTTGCATCCAATTTAGCAAATTCCCTTTAAAAAAGTACCTGTACAAGATAAATAGTTTTGATTTTTAAAATTATTTTAGAGTAATCGTAAATATAGCAGTTAACACTAAAATGAGGTACTATAAAAAATACAATGCTGACATTTACTAATTAGAGTTTAACCTAAAAAAGTTAATGGCTCAGATACGTGCAAGTACCTTTTGTCATTTATATTGTGCATAGCGATTTAAATTTAATGTAAAAATAAAAGTTGGCCGACTTAAGCCTAGTCGTACTTGCAGGAGTACCAACAGCTTGCATCATATTAAAAAAGTTTAACACACCAAAAGAAAAGACAAATGATTTTCAAGATTATCTAACAGTTGAGGCTTTAGCTAACTTTAAAAATGTAAAAGTAGAAGCCATGGAAAATAGTATTTTTTAAATGGAAAGACTTTCTATCCATATTATTAGTAATGTAGGCTTCAACAACCCTATGTCCCCTACCTTACAAAAAGGTCCAATTTACATCCAACAGAAGCGACAAACTTACTTTACAAATTTATCATATAAAGAAAAGCATTATAAAATTATCTTTATGCTTCTGTCTAAAAATAAGCATATTTAGCAATCTCTAGCAGAAAGCTACTACTTAAGTTGGATTTATTAAAACTGTAGGGACAGTAGCACTGATTAAAATACAGATAGGAGTTTTGCAAGCATTTTTCTATTAGATTTTTTTATAGAATAAAGAAAACGTTTTTTCAGAGTTTCTATTTATTACAGTCTTTTTTTACAATTATTAAAATTAAACATTAATTAATTTATATCTTAGGTCTGAATTTGTAAGAAGGTAAATGAAGCAGTCATTGACCATGCGGTAGTGATTGGCCACGATAACATAAAATTAAGAATCTCAGCTGTTTATTTAGTCAATCGAATAAAGAGAAAATTTGGCAAAGTTGCTTGATGCACATCCAAAGTTTCGTGTTGCTACATTGGCTATTGAGTGCTTAAAGCGTAAGGTCATTTCTTGTCGCCACCGGTTTTTTTGTGCACAGGTAAAACCTTACGAATTTCTTAAAAATTGTGTGCTTGTTTTTGACCCATTATGACCCTAATCATTGCAGATATACCTAAAAATTGACATTGACTTAGAGTCATAATTGATCATATTCTAGGATTTAGTGCCAGAAAAACACGAGAAAAAAACGGTTTAGTGACAATAATAAGAATGAGACAGATAGTGCGAAAAAATTAGTTAATGTAATAAATATGGTTATTATTAAACCGTCTGCTCCTAATCAATTTATACTGGACTGTGTTTTAGGTGT